CGGGTGGGTGGGTGGGTTAGTAGAAGATTAGAGAGGAAAAGAACCACCAAGCACTAGAAACACTCTAATCCTATTTCATATAAGGTTTAAATGGAATATTTGTGAAGAGAAACATGGAGTGGATTCTGATAAAAAGAAATCCCACTGAGGGCAGGTAAGAAAGCTGCAGAGGTTTGAACATTTAAATACCAGAAGGCATAAACATCAAAGTGCACCAGCAACCCACCCACCCCCCACCCCCAATTATATACTTTTCAAAACTTACAACATCATACAGAAAATTCATTTCATCTTTATTATTATGAGTATACACTGGGTATGTTGTTGTATTATTATGAGTACAAAGGAATCGAAGTCCAAAAGTGGTTTCGTGTTTCCTGTAGAATTATCTGTCAAACAACCTTCGGATTTCATAGAGAAAAGCTAAGTACAAAGAAATCTATGTGAGACAATCCCTACATTGGGATATGAATACCTAAACAAGAAGTTAAAGCAGCATACACTTGAAATCAGCCAAACTAAAATGGAAGGCCTTTTTCGAGATTACCACGAGTGAGCCTTACCTTTTTCTATCAGGATGAGTAATAACAATATCCATATCACCACAAGAAGCCTTTCCACGTCTATATGATCCTCCACACACAATAATTACCTAAAGCAAGGGATTCATCATATAAAAGTTGTATGTTATTTTAACTTCTGTAGCCAAGTTCAACAATATCATAACCATAAACACCAAACTTAAAACCAAAATATAGTTAAATATTAAATTATCTTAATAAGTGAGTCAAACCAAAATGATAAAATTGAAAGAATCGCAAAGCTGTTCTCCCCCCCCCCCCCCCCCCAAAAAAAAAAAACAAAAAAAAAAATTGTCTTTATCGTAGACAGGTAAATACTAAGTAAGTAATTTTAGTAATGATCCAAATCAGATTGAGGCCATTAGCCAGATGATTCTTTGGACGTCTTAAAAACATAACGATTACATACCAAATGTTTGCAAAGGAGTAACACTTCACCATCTGAAAATCATATTTCGGGGAGATTGGATAAAGATCAGTACTTTGTATGTTAAACAATTTATTCCAAGATTCTTTGACACCATAGTTTTTCATTACCCAAAGGTTAAAATCGTAACTCCAGTTCTCAATTGATGAGCATGAGTAGAATAAACACAAAGAAGTCCTCCCCAAAAAAAATGTGCCATTGCTGAGGTAATTAATGTCAGAAACAATGAACCTTCTATTTGGCTACGCTATTTCTGCATACACCTAATTAGAAATATCAAATGAAACCACAGACTTATATTTAGTGAGCCAATCCAATGAAATGTCTCATCTACAAATGTCGGAAAGTCCATAGTAGACAAACACATTGGATAAATGCTAGACGGATGTTTGTCAATTTTAATTCAGGAACCACTTTTCAGTACGAGAATTTCATTACATGATTGGTGACCAATCTTAAGGATTTTATAGTCATAACTGGTTGAATAATATCCCAATCCGATTTGAGTTATTCTCCTTGCTAAAAATGCAGAATAAGACCTAACTAGTTGAACATATATCTTCAGAAGAATTTATCGATCCAATTACTTTTTCTTAATAATCTTCCTCTACAATACTTATTAGTTTGGCCAGAATCAATAATCTTTTTGCAAATGGGACCATGTCTGTAGGCCCTCCAATTCCATTTAGTCTCAAACATATTCAAGCTTATAAGCATCTCTTTTTCACTTCAAGACTGAAATGAGCAATTTCCAGCAATTCGTACATTAACATGAAAGTAATGTTCAACAAGTAATTGGACAAAAGCCTTACACCAGGCAAAATTTCCTCTCCAACTTTCTGTAGCAGATGTTCCATCTCTTCGACCTACATAATCAATCATCACTCTTAAGAAAAAGCAATAAGTAGTCATGATAGTAAAAATAGCAAAGCATAATAGGCTACCTCATTCCGTGGAATCCTGGTTTGGATGTCATCAAAATATTTCAACCCTAACCTTTGAGAATGAGTCAGTGACTCCT